CAACACTCAGTACACCTGGAAGCCTGAAAGCAAGTTTCTGCATGAAGCTAGGAGGTTGAACCAAATCATCCTCAATTCTACTTTCCTGGCTGACCAAAGGACAAATGAGGCAATTAGGACATGGCACGGTAACCAAACAACCCTAAGTGACATCAGAAACACTGCTACTAGACACAAAGCAAGACGTAGAATGCTCCTTGTAAGGCTACATACCCATACTAATCACAGATACTATGACACTGAGAACCAAACCAAGTGTAGGCAATATCAAGAAGAAAAACTGTCAAACCAAGGGCTACCTCAGCCCACCTAAACACCTGTTGCCTGTATGTTTGTAAAAGCTGCTTTAAAACTTTTCTGCTGGCACTCTCAACTAATAAACCCCACCTTCAGCAAGGCAGGTTGGCTCACGTTCACCCAGCTTCTCCTTAGCCTGGAGCACACAAAAAGAAGGCTGCATCTTCCCAAAGCATCAAGTTGACATGTGCTATAACTGCTGAGAAATAATGATTAAGCAAGTTAAAGGGCAACATTAACTCCATAATAAGCGAGTATAAAACAGCCAGAAGTTCCTCACCTCTCTGGAAAAATCTGTTCTCTAGCAACCTTGCAATCACAGTTGAGAAACAGCCTGCTGTTACAGTGGAGCATGAAGGAGCTTGAACAAGATAATGCTTTCAGTAGCAAAAAGCTAATCTTAGTAGCCTAGGAAGTCATTTCTAGCTTTATAGGCTTTTTTTTTTTTTTTTAAATTAGAGGTAAGCAGACTTTCACATTATCTGCTTGTTTACAAATTCTAACTGAAAACAGGAAGCTAAGAATCCCTGATTCTGCCAAGGTAGGAAAGTATCAGTCAGAGAGCAGTGAGGCACTGGCACAGGTTGCCCAAGGAGGCTGTGGATGCCCCATCCCTGCAGGCATTCAAGGCCAGGCTGGATGTGGCTCTGGGCAGCCTGGGCTGCTGGTTGGTGACCTGCACACAGCAGGGGGTTGGAGCTGGATGAGCGCTGTGCTCCTTTGCAACCCAGGCCGTTCTAGGACTCCACTGTCTTCTGCTTCTACATGTGTGACCTACAGCCTTGCACATGCCAGAGGAGTAGCACCACTTCCCAGAAGCACCTGATTTTATTTCTCCATAACAAGCATCCAACACGCAGATATCTGATGCTCCAAATGGCTTTGTTTCACATAGCTTTTTGCCTCCTGTGTTTGAGATTTCTGCTCTCCAGTTTGATATCAATATTGTGATGCTGTGAACAAAGCCTATAGCTGAATACAAATCTGCATGCTGAGGAAGTCAGAAGTACTCCAAGGAATATGATAGTCACCCAGAATGTTTTCTTTCTTACCATAAATGAAGCAGAATCTTTGCTCTACTCAACCACAAACAAGCTTTCATTAAGAAAACAAAAAACTCAAGTCCATCAATGAAGTCTAATGCACATTTTAAAATAAGGTCCCAAAGCAGAACCAGAATTACCTAAGCAGTTCCAATAATGCATCTACGCCATACAGCATGGAAAGTTACAGAATCACTACAAGCCTTAGGTTTGTATCAAACATCAAATCCACATAAGCACAAGGTAATTCTCCAGCAGGATACCACAGCCAGGATGACCTTCCCTGCCTTCAGCCCATAAGCAGAAGCAAACAGATGCCAAGGACAAGCACAGATGCTACACTGCTTCTGCCTTCAGCAGCATGACTGGCACACTGCACCAGCCCCCCTTGCTGTGCAGTTGAAGGAGATGAACAAAAGAGTTCCAAAAAAGCCAAACAGATAATTTAACAACTGGAAACGTGCTTAAACATAGGAAATACTTAGAGAACTTTATTTAGCTTATCAAGAAGGTAGTGATTAAGAGGAACTTGGAGCAGTCAGAAATAGCCTGTATGAGAAACAAGGGTCTAAAAATGAAAGCCTCCCAGATTAACACAAAGAAACGTGCTTCAAATCTGAATTGCTAATAGTATAGAGTGATCCATCAATGAGGACAGCTTCCCAAAAGTTAAGGCAGAATCTATCACTGTAAACATGGATCAGAATTTCACATATTTTTCTGAAAATTTCTTCAAGCAGAACTACAGCATGTCTGTTCAGAAGGGGGTCCAGTGGTCCTCATTAACCTGGCAGCAAGGTGCTGTTGCGGGGTAGTTGGACTGGATGACCTTCAGGAGACCCTTCCAACTCAAAGGATTCTATGCTGAATTACTTCTCTAACATCAGGGCCAAAATCCTTCTGTTGCTAGAGGTCTCTGCCTCTAAGACATGCTTCCCTGGTATTCCTGTGTCAGCTTACACCATCTTTTCAAGGCCATGCTGGATGGGGCTGTGAGCAACCAGGTCCAGAGAGAGGTGACCCTGCCTATAGCAGGGGGCTGGAACCAGATGATTTTAAAGGCTCCTTCCAACCCAAACCACTCCATGATTCTATGATCTTATCATCTGAAAACAGCACACTGACACCACTAAATAGTGGATAAGTCTGCAGAGATGCAATCCCCTCAAGGGGATGGTTTGGTTTTCTATAGCACAGCTATGACCACATGCAGCTCTATACAAGCAGCTACCAGACCAGCCAACCAGCTCATTAAATACCCCAATGCTCTACTGAGGTGCTTGCTACTGCATTCAGCTTCTCCTTCACAACTCCCTCCAGTCCCATGTTCCACAAAGCATTTAATGGAACACTGCTCTGAAGGGACGTCAAATAAAAGCTTTAAAAAAATAAAAATAAAAAGACTGCGGATGCTTCCACTTCATCAAAAAGTCCACAGCCCTCTGTGAACAGATGATGTTAGGAGCAGATGTACACAACCAGATGATCTCTTCTTTACCAGCCATCTTGACCTGTCTGGCTTGATTTATATAAACTGCTTTTGCTCACTACAACACAGATTATGTAAATCTCAAGAAACCCTTCACCAAACAAGAACTGCCACACCACTTGCAGACAAGCAGCCTGCAGAACACAGCAGCACATCCTGGTGGGAGAACCACCTCCTGCCAAGGGAACACATTCCCCTTGACGTTAACACCAGGAACAGAAGAACGCCACTGCAATACTGCTAAGGCAGAGCAAGAACAAAAGAATCACAGAATCACCATAGAATAGCCAGGGTTGGAAGAGACCTCAAAGAACATGAGGCCCACCAACCTCCCCATTTCACAGCAGCCCAGGCTGCCCAGGGCCCCATCCAACCTGGCCTTCAACACCTCCAGGGATGGACGGGGCATCACAGCCTCTCTGGGCAGCTGTTCCAGCACCTCACCACTCTCACAGCACACAACTTCCCCCTGACATCCAACCTCAATCTGCCCTCCCTCAACTCCAAACCACTTCCCCTTGTCCTGCTGTTATCTCCCCTTTCAAAGAGTTGATTCCCCTCCTGTCTGTAGGCTCCCTTTAGGTACTGAAAGGCAACGAGGTCACCCCACAGCCTTCTTTTCTCCAGGCTGAACAAGCCCAGCTCCCTCAGCCTGTCTTTGTAAGGGAGGTGCTCCAGTCCCCTGATCATCCCTTTGGCTCTCCTCCAGACGCTGTCCAACAGCTCCCTGTCTTTCTTGTATTGGGTGCCCCAGACCTGGACACAGCACTCCAGATAGGGCATCACGAGGGCAGAGTAGAGGGAGACAATCGCCTCCCTGCCCAAAAGATGAAAGTTTTACCATATCAAAAAGAGAGGTCTCCGCAGCTCACCAGGTAGGCCAACTCCTTTGTTCATCATCATTCTCCCCATCTAATTTACAAGTCTCGCAGCTCCAGATGGGTTATGACGCTGATGAATGACTTCTATGTCATTTTTTTCCCCCTACTTTTTTAAAGCTACATGGTATCTCAAAACAACTTTTTAAAATTAGCTGTGAGGTCATTCTAACCGTTTAAATCAAGCGGGTATGACAAGAGCTGCAGTGCCAGGCTTCTGCATTTTACAGATCTCCGTTTCACTTCGAAGAGAGCAGATTTACGCCTTCTTAATTACACCGAACTCCAGATTGCATGCTTTTAATACAAGGCAGGTATTAATGCATGTATTTTTAACGCTGCCCAACAGATGCTTGCTATGTTCTGAGAATTTCTAGTTGCAAACACTGAGTCACCAAAGAAGAAAACAGAGTAAGTTTGTGTTACCCAGGCTGGATGTGGCTCTGGGCAGCCTGGCTGATGACCCTGCACATAGCAGGGGGTTGAAACTCAACGATCACTGTAATCCTTTTCAACCCAGGCCATTCTATCATTACTTACAGTTTAAAACACCTCACGGGAAAGGTAGCAATCGGCTTTAACGGCGTTAAACGGCTCTTCACACACCGAAAACGTAATTAGCGAAGTCACTCCATTACCCCCCGCCTGTCACGCTTCCATCACAACGCGTCTGGCGGAGGGGAACGGCGGCACTCCGCATCCGCGCTGCCCACAAAGGCACCGAGCGCACAGCTCAGCCCGCAGCCGGCCGCTTCGCACTGCAAGGACGAGATGCGCGTTTTCGGCAGCAGCCGGCTCTCAAATCCAAAACCCACACCGCACGAAGTTTATTTCATCTTCTCGGCGTTCCAACGCGCGGCGGGGAGGAGCGGGACATCGGGCAGAAGCGATAAGCGGAGATCGGTGCGTTTCCACACATTAAGATCACAGCCAAACCATCCCGTACTTCTGTTACTTTCAGCCGCAGCTGAAAACAGCGAAGCCACGGAGAGGAAAACGCTTCCAGCTGCGCACAAAAAGCCTCCGCGGCACAACAGCAGCCCCGATGCAATTAAAGACCCGAGGTGACACGGCGTTGCACCGCACCATTGTTAGCGGCGGGGCCGCGCAGCCCGGCTTACCCTCCATTTTCACGAGGGAAGCAGCTCGCACGGCTCTTCACGAGACTGAGTCGGACGCTTCGCCCTAATGGAGTTACTTCCACTGGAGCCTCGGAGCCCCTTCCCCTTCCCCCTCCCCGCTCTCCTCCTCCTCCTTCCCTCCCCATCAGGACGGCCCGACCGCAGCGCTCACCCCAGCACCACCAGCTCCCCGTACTTGACGGGCTCCTTGTTCGGGGCGCAGTGTTCCTCCTGGCTGGGGGAAAACATCGGGGCGACCGCCGCCGAGACCACCCAGCGCCGGGTGCAGCTCCCGAGCGGGTTCCGCGCTGCGCCCCGCACTGAGCCGGCAGTCGCGCGACCGCGGACACTACACTCCGAGGGTCGTACCAAGTGCTGGCGGCGGGGGGGGTGGGTAGGAGGAGCCAAGCGGCGCCCTCGCGCCCCGCTCTCGTTCACCGCCTGCGGAGGGGGCGCCCCCCGCCAGCACCACCCCTTCGCCTCGCCGCGCCCCCCCCCCCTCCTCCGGCCGCGAGTGGTACGGCCCGGCTCTGTTATGTAAACATAGAGTAAAGGGGACGGGGCCGCTCTTAAAGGGGCCGCGCTGAGAGTTAGCGGGGGCGGGGCTGCGTGGGGAGGTGGGACTGCGTCTCTAAGTAGGGGGTGTCCAGAGTCAGTGTGGCGTGGAGGGAGCTGGTTTGGAGCTCAGGTGGCAGTAAACCCAGACTTTCTGTGGGCTCACACCTCAGCTGCACCCAGCAGCGCGGCCTTCCTTCAGTTCCCTCCAAACCCAGCAGGAATCAGCCCTCAAATGGTATTCGCTCAGCCAGGCTCGAGCTCTCTGCTCCAGGAGCAAGGAAAAGTCATTGTGGTCTTCACCCAGAACCTTCCCTGAGCACAGAGCAGGAGTGGGCCCGGCTTCTCCTGCCCAGAGCTTTCCCATGGCTGAAATCACATTTAGCTATTAATTTTCACAGTGATGCTATTTTTCTGCCATCCCTGGTGAAGAGGTGAAATGGAAAAAGCCAGCCAATCTCACAGGGCTGCAGAATGGAGATCTTCCCAGGGGCTGTGCGAAGAAGACAAGGTTTTATTAAAGACAGAGAGCTGAATTATTACGGATTTATCTTCTTTATTGCCCTAACAAAATAGAAAAGAAAGCTGAGCTGTAAGTCACTGTCGAAGAAAACAAATACAGCCTGGAAAACAGTGAGAAAAACAAACCTCCTGGCTGCATCCTCTTTAAGTTCTCCCCCTTCTCCCCCCGAATGCAAGTCCTTCGCTTTGCTTTTGCACGGCATAAACAAACTTAAATTGTCTTCCAAGAGGTGCTCCGACAGTTCTTAGCTCAGGTTTCCTGTAAGCCCCAAAGCCCTGGATCAGGTTGGGTTTATGGCATTTTCTGCTTCCCAACAACTGCCTCGTGGGAATGGAGGAAGGACCTTGAAGGTCTGGTTTAGTCTGTGTTCTTTCTTGTTTTCTAGCACCTTTTGGAGACTTTATTACTGAAGCACTGGTTTTCTCCCTGCATCTCCCAAGGACCTACTGCTCCCAGCACCAAAAACCTGCTTTTAATTTGCTGGTGAGAGCAATGAAGCAGAGATGGAGCAAGGAGCTGCCCCCCGGCTCCACATCCCCCACAGTCACAGCCACAGCACTGATGCTTCCTACAGCCCCAAACATTCCTCTTCGCAACGGGAGCGGAAAAAAAAGGAGCTGCATTTCTCCCCAGATCTATTGAAATAATGGAGAAATGTATCTACAGCCACGTTTGCACAGGGAGGTGGTGGAGTCATCGTCCCTGGAGGTGTTCAAGTGCCATAGAAATGTGGCACTGGGGGACATGGTCTGTGGGCATGGTGGGGGTCAGCTGGGGTTGGGGATCTTGGAGGTCTTGTCCAACCTTAGTGATTCTATTATGTTTAAGTTGAATATATCTTGTTCTCTCGCCTTCAGAATGTCTCCACGTGGCAGCTTTTTTGGGGAGCATCCTCCAGTTTTATTACAGCAGCTTTCTGGCCAAGGTGCATCTTTCAGCAGGAATATCCAGCAAAGCCAGGAAGGCATTAAAATCAGTGTCCGAAGAAGAATCCCAAACACGAAGAAATAGTGCATACCCATTTGTTTTTAAAATGTAATAAAAAAAAAAATATTTTAAATACAGGAAGATTAATAAGGCTGTAATTCAGCAAAGTGCTTGCAGATGTGCTGGGCTCAGAGTAAGTGCTTCAGCGCTTTCATGATTCGGGGCTTAGGGACTGAGCTTGAAATGTAGAAAAAGTACTGAAAGACATAATTTGCTGTCGTACCTGTGGCTTGTGTTGCACACGAAGCTGACAGGACACACATCAGGTCTGGTGATATACTGGTGCGCAGGTTTCCATTGCATTCCTTTGCAACACCATGCTGTGCAATGGTCCTTGATTCACAGAAACACCAAGAATTTAGAAAGGGAAATGACATGAGGAAAAAAGTGGAAGAGTGAAAAGCATGACACGATTTCAAGTCTCGCAGCAGCAGCTTAAGAATGAGTTACAGGCTTGGGATTAACACAGAGCAGTCCTCGCTAAAGGCCCTACCAGGTTTTAACAAAGCAAGGTAGTGAAGCAGCAGAGTTGAAAAAGCAGCTATCAAATAACTGTATCTAAGCAGGGAAAAGAGAATAAAGCATAAGCAGCATCGAATACAAAACCACAACAAGAAAAGCTGAAAGGATGTTACAGAAATGCTTGCCAAAGGCAAAGGATTTTAAAGAGATTCAGATATGACAACATTGAACAAGTCAATATGGATTCATAGGGATGCATCTGATGAGCCTGATACACTGGGGAGAAGGCAACAGCATCTTTTGCAGACAGAAGTCAAAGTTTATAGCATGTTCACACCCTCTGAAGCAGCCAATGAACATGATCACATATCAGGATCTCATCTGAATTTTGCCACATAAAAGCTCTGAAAGAAATAAAAGTAGTGTGAAAAAGGAACAAAGTATGTCATGGCTTAGCAGCTGGCTGCAAGAGAACTGGGAGGCTTGAAGCTCTTCTTTTTGTGGTGAGGAGAGGTCACTGCTGGGACATGGTGGTGCTCTGGGGGACCTTGGCCAGGCAGCTCGCTGGTAATGGAAAACTTTGCTGAGAAGCCAAAAATTTTAAGCTGACTGCAAAGAGTCAGCAGAAGACCTAGCAAGAAAATGTCCAGCTAAAGTACATAGAGAAGATGACCTTAGCCATATCTACCTAATGACTGGCTCTAATTGAGCTATTATCATTCAGGAAAGACATCCTGAGACTTTACAGTCACTATAGGTCCTTCTCTTGTAGTGTTGGCCCAGAGATCAACAGAAGTCTAAAAGGTGAATAAAATGTGCAAAGGAGCCCTTGTACTTAAAACGTGTCTCTTCTTCCAATGTCACAGGTACTCCTAGGAAAACCTGTTCTGTCTCTGGACGGATGGTCATCATCCTTCTCTGTGGGGTAAAGCCAAGGGCATTGCTCTGCTCTGTGCTCACCAGCTCTCCCATCTTCCCTTCAGTGAACAGGGACACCTTCAGCTCCATCAGGTGCTCAGAGCCCCATCCAGCCTGACCTTAGGTGTCTGCAGGGATGGAGCACCACCACCTCTCCCAGCAATGATGCTCCACACTCGGGGAGGCCGGAGGAGCAGCCATGTCCACATCTACGGAGCTACGTTCAACCAGCCCATAAATCAAATGGACCTCACGCAATGGACGTGAGGAGAATCCCAAATCAGTGCAGGACGTAAAGCTGGGATGCAATGGGAACTCTGTTGTCTCATAGCAGCAAACCTCAGACCCAAACCTTGCTCAGTTTGCAGCCACTTAGGGATTTCACCCACCAGCAATGCAAGAACACCCACAGAGCCACTTAAAACTGAAGACCATTTTCACATATTTCTGCTACAGAGAATGAAATGCGATTTAGAAATTACTGCATATTAAAAAGGAGCAGTCCCCCAGCTGCTGTTCCTACTTCAGATATCCAGCTGCAGATATCCAGCATCCTGCAAAGCTCCAGCATAATCCCACGAGTGTCACTCTGCAGCAGGGTGCAGCTCCCACACCCTTCTTTCCCTGCATAGTTTTGTCATGCTGCTACGTGCACATGGTCTTAGAGGAAAAGGGGAGCAGCATTTGGCTGAGAACAGTAGGATCTATGGGCTAATAACTACTCAGGAGTTCAGATTTCCCTGGCAGTAAGAAGTCACAGTTAATGTTTTCTCCCCTCGTTAAGGGAAAGAGAGCTGGGTCGTAGCTGGGTATGTTAAAAGCAGCATTTGGTCTGCAAAGTATATACATCAGTAAGGTCTTATAACTACCTCCTAGCATCTGATATTCTTTTCATTACTGTCATTCAGTAAGCGAGCGCATTGCCAGGCCTCCAGGCTGCCTTCAGCCTAGTTAGGGCTGACCTTGGCAAAAGGCTGGAAACCCCAAAACCTTGACATCCCAGCATGAGGAAAAAAAAAGAAAAAAAAAAGAAGCAAAAAAAAACAAACAAAACTCCACCGAAACCAAACAACAGGCGGGCACAGATGTCAGGAAGATGCAGCAAAAGGAACAATGTCCTGCAACATCCTGTTGGGTCGCTGTGCGAGTGCAACCCCCAGCACTGCCTTCCTCCCAGCCGTGAGAAGCCTGTGTGCTTGTGGATGCTCTCCTCTCCCACGCCTGCACGCTGTGGGCAATTATGAAGTCGTTAGCTCTGTAAGCTGAAAGGATCGCTGTTGTCAGGATCGGCTGAGACGCCGGTTCACTTGTCGTTATTATGGGCACTTTAGCAGATGGATGGCCAAAACTGTATTTGCAGCAATGAGGTAATGACTGAGAAATGCAATTCTGGTAGCCCCCTGATTGCTGATGGCTTTCACTGGCATCATTAGGAGATGAAGATGCTTCGTACCTCAGCAGACAATGCCTTCCTTTAACAAAGCAGCTGAGTTATTTCAGGGAAGGGTGAGAATTCCTCACCTTTGGGTCTGCAGAGTAGCAGAGAGTTGCCAGTCACGTTAAGCTGGGGAAGATGTTGTACAAGAACTACGGAAGAAGCTCTGAAATGACCACAAAACTTTCTTCTTTTTTTTTTTTTCTTTCTGTCATTAAGGGACACAAAATAGGTGAAAATAAAAAGCTGGTGAGGGGTCTGGAACACAGGCCATATGAGGAGAGGCTGAAGGAGCTGGGAATGTTCAGCCTGGAGAAGAGGAGGCTCAGGGGAGACCTTATTGCTCTCTATAACTTCCTGAAGGGAGGTTGTAGTGAGCTGGGGGTCGGCCTCTTCTCTCGTGTCATTAGTGATAGGACCAGGGGGAAT